TAGTACGTGATGACTTTTCCTTTTTTCTTATTTCATTGATAACAGGTATAAGACAATTATCAATATAGTAGTCATGATCGATTGTCTTGTCCTTATCTACTTTGTGTATGAGAAGAGAACCAGTGGATTTGAAGAAGAAGCAAAATAGTGTTCTAGGTTCAAATCTATTCCGACGAACAATGGTTCTTGGTGGTTCATTTTCGCCAACCCAAGTAGCATTGCTTGACTTTCGACCAATCTGCCTGTGATAAATCCATGTCTCATCACCAGTAATAACATCACATAAATGCCATGTTCCATTTCTAAATTTCTCTAAATTTTGACGACAAATTCTAAGTCGTTTTTGTTTTTGTTCGTCAGTAAGTTGATGAGCAACCCAACGTGATGTAACTTTTCTCATCTTTAGACGATCATGAATAATTCGTTCTATTGTACCACGTGATAGATCAGTCTCACCCATAATATCATCATAAGTTGAGTGTGGATCATCTTCGATAACTTGTCGAACGCGTTCAACATTTTCATCTGTAAGTACCGAAATCGGACGACCAGATCGAGGATCATCAGTGACATCGTCTCTTCCTTCACGAAAACGTTTCGCCCATCCTCTGACTGTTGGATATGATGGAGCATCAGGTCCCAATGCCTCTGTAAGTTCGTCAAAGATTGTTTTTGAATCTATTCCCAAAATAGCTCGAATTTTGATATAATATCGATTGAATTCATCAGTCATGTTTAATGTCTTCTTTTAAGATTGAAATCAAATTCTATTACGATTTTAAGTCGAGTACGGTACAAATGAACTAACAGCGAACGACCTCTCATTTATATATACTATCGAAATGTAATATTCTAGAACATGACGTCATAAAACGTGACGAGAGAGTGACCAATAGAAAGTTCCAGAATGTACCTGACCATTGAACAAGAATTAATAATATTTGCATTGTCTGTAAAATTATAGATTTAGTCTGAAAGGATGTTAGAACTAAGTCTAAGAGAGAGTTGCTCTATATATTATTAAAGACGAGACGTTATACTATATATCGCCTTAGTAAAATATTCAATATTTATTGCTTTATTAAATTTTAAAAACTGTGATCAGAACTTTTGGTATACCCTAAGTATCATCTTTTTTATTGTATCTTTGTTGAGTATGATTTGATGTCTTTGATAATCAATACTACGAGCTATACGATTTTCTTTCTAATCAAACCAATTCTCATTATTGCCAGTGTTTCTATTAATATACTATCTTTACTATAATGAGTTTGAAATTGATGAACAATAAAAATTAATATTGTGTAAATTATATTTAACAGTAATTCTAATTAGTTTTATTATATTTCTACTGAAATTCGAACCAATAAGGATCATAACCATGGTTTTGAATAATTCGTTAAGTGTCAAAATGAGTCCAAGATGAATGTTTTGTCTGTACATGTTTTCCAGATGACCATCCATGTTTAGCCAGATGTTTCTCAGCGGCATTTAATGCTTCTGATTCGATAGTCGTGCCCATTGAGGCATGCCATCGATTGAGAAAACCAAAATAACTAATAACACCTTGAATTTCGACACTTTCACTATCATTCCAATGCTGATTAGATTTTCAATAATGGAACTGTTGACAGCTTTGGGCACTGTAGAAGCCGCTACAGCGAAGTCAAGAGCTGTCCGCTCAGCAAGACCGAAAGTTGGATGGGTGGAATATTAGCAGATGTTAACTAGTTGCTCTGAATCGGCTCCATAACGTTTAGCTGCTAATATAGTATGTGCTTGACTGTATTGACAACCTGCTTTGGAACTAGAAACATAAACAATAAGGCGTTTCAAAACATTATTCACACGACCATGATCTTCGATCACTACTTTGTTCAGTTGAATCGCGGCAGTAAGAATGGCCGATCGATGTTGCATAGTAAATATACCGTTTGGACAATAGCCTAATGTTTCATTATAAAATGTAGCTAGTTGCTTTACTGCCTCAGTGGTATAGGACAACAATGGAGAAACTAATGGAAACAGCATAACAATAGGCTGATGTGTTGTTCATCACTAAAATTATCTAAAATATACAAAGACTTCTGTTCATATGGCAAAGAATTTAATTTAAATGGTCCTTTTCCAGAGCCAAAATTTTCGGATATTTTGTGTTTCGCTTTTTGTGGCTAATATATAGATTTAAATGCCCTCTACCTGATGAGCACATTTTGAGAATCGAAAACCTATGTTTTATATATAAAATCCTTGAGAGAATCTAAAGAATACGCTGAAAAAAAACTCAAGCTTCTTTGCATTTTCCCCAAAACCAGAGTTTTGTACAAAAAAGAATATTTTTCGAAGAAAAAAAGACACGTAGGTTTGATTTTAGTTGTCAAAGAAAAAAGTCCAGCTCAGAAGGATGAAGTATAAAATTTTGTGGGGGAGGAAACTTTTAGCCATTTTTGACCGTTGTGATTCCTAAAATTCCCTGAAGAAAGTATCCAGTGGGTCCCTTAAGAGTTATGACAAAAATCACTAAACATTGAACAATAGTTAAAACGCTTTTAAACGCCGATTGAGCATTTCGATTATTCGAGTTTTGTCGTAAACAGTTGTGTTATACAATTATTTCAAAAGAATATCTATGTACACAAACTTAATTCATCTCTTGACATCTATTCGCACATCTAAAAGGTTTGTTAAATAACGTAAAACAATGTGTTAATATGGCAAATATATGATACCACCTATCAACGTCAACAAGCAGTATGAAAATGCTCCTATCTAGTTACATTTTATTTTATATTCTTATCGCGACAAAAAGTATTGATAAGCATGCATGGGATCTGTGAAAAAAATAAAGAAGGTTTGCAGAACCTTTTAAAGGTTGTGGGTGTGAATTTTGGTTTGGGTGTAGGTGTGTGTCGGTGGGTGTGGGGTGTCGATGTGGGTGTGGGTGTGTGCCGATGGATGTGGAGTGTGTATGTGGGTGTGGGTGGGGTGGGGTGTGGGTGTGGAAAAGAGACAAAGAGAAACCCACACCTACATCCATACTCCACACCCACATACCCACACCGACACCCTCGAAAGACTAAGACATATTCGTGACATGACGAATTTCAACAACCATTCGTGTAAATTTGTCGATAGCATCATAAGTCAACGACTAAAAAAAATAAATACAGAGAGAAAACCAGATCCACCACAACAGAAACTGATCGAAAAAAGATCAAGTATACCGAAATACCATACGTTGGTAAAACCAGTTTGGATTTCGCGAAAAAACTAAAACAAATAATTAAGAAGCACGATGTCAACAGTGAACTCCACGTCATACTAAGAAGAATAAATACGACCAACAAATACTTTCCTAATCAAGAT